AATTTTTTTTTTCTAACAGTAATTAAATAGTTTACAAAAGTAAATTTATAATTATAATTATAATTAAGTTTAAAATAAATTTGTCTTAAGCTATAATATTGATATGTACAAACATTGAATGCAAATATAATATGTACGTTATATTACCATTATGTTAGATAATATTACAAAAATTTATACGTTTACACAGAAACCATAAAATGTACTACTGTAATTTGCCATCTAATATAAAGATATATTTACACAACTAGAGATAAAAGTATTAATTTATTGTAAAAGCACAATATTTTATAAGTTTCTTTTTATTATAAAATGTTTGATATCAACACATATTATTTACGTAATTTTACATGCTTTTTTTTAGTGTAACACAAAATGGTGTGTGGAGATGAAAAACGAAAATTTCTAGGCACAAATAATAACCACTTAAAAATAATTACCTCTTTTATAAATTTATAATATGTAGAAGTATTGTATCCGTAAATATTTCGTCAAAAATATAGCGTCAAAAATGATATCAGTGAATATTCTTAAAAGCTATCTTTAAATGAGCTCTGCAAGTAACAGGCTGGATCACCGATCAATAAGAAGAAGTTGACGCTTCATTTTATTTTCGTGAGTCAATTTATAGCCGCGCGACTGTGCTTTTACGTCATCAGTATTTTAATGGAGTCCCCATTTCAGATAATACGAGAAACTTTGGTATACGTGGCCCAGAGAACGCGATCGCAGCCAAACGTAACTTCCGCCGGGCGCTATCTCGGCACTCCACACCTCTACTTTATTCAGGCGTATGTAAGCGGAGTGCGGTGCCGAGTTCACACACGTGCCACGGTATGGATACACACGGTGGCACGTCAAGTAAAACGAATACTTGCATACGCGGCCTCCCCGTGTGTACACCACGTGCGTACGTGCGGGTCGACGGTGTATTGGTGATCCGCACCCGCCTCTCGGCTTCGTATCGCGCGATAACTCGATTACCCGCGATAACCGAGTATTTATTAGCCTGTGAGATTTCATTTTGATATCCCTCTCCCCCTCCTTCTATCTGTCTCTCAGTTCTTTACCTCTTCCTCCTCTTCTTTCATTCTTACGCCTTCCCTGAGTGAGGGACATTCAGGGAAACACCGTCGTTTCAGAAGTGTTGTATATGTTTCCAGAAACGGAAATTGTTTGGAACAATAGAAACGGACGGCTTCTAGTAAATCTGTTTTTGATACATTCTTTTTAGTACCATGCCGATTTATTTTTGCATAGCAAAATAGTTGTATATAATATTTGTATAATTCTGTCGGAAATAATAATTGATTACGGACTATTATTATTGTATATTATAGAAAATTCACAATAATGACAAACTTATATAATATAGCTTTTAACATAGTTTTTTTTACCGGGATGTTTTCCTTTTCTCTGTCTTCCGCAGAGTAATTTTATCTGGACATTATTACGCAATTTGTTTCGCAGTGATCTCTGTACGTTTAAAAAGGTTATTTTATTGAAATTAAATTGGTTTTACATGAGGTCGTGCGCTCAGGGAACGATCGATCGTGATATACGTATGTATCGAATTACGAGCGCGGATTATCGTTGGGCGAGGATCAACGCTCTACTGGGATGCACGATAATTATTTCTGCGTTAGCCATAATTATTGTCGGGATGGCAATTAATTCTTGCCGGAGCGGCAATTAATTTATTGTGGCTTGATTAATTACCGCATGGTAGGCGGGCGAGACAGTTCGTTACTGCGGATGATTGCCCTTTTGCTGCACAATAAGGTCCATGGCTGGTAAACGCCTCTTTTTTGGAAAGAATTTGGTGACATCGAGATTTGCTTAATGCACACAAAGGTAATTAGGTCACAAACAAATAGATAATCGTGATAACGTGTGAGCGTATCTCTTTTTTAATAACATCAAGTAAAATCCAATTTTGTATCAAAAATTATATTTTATCATATATAATATAAAATTCTTGTTGTGAAAAAATTTGTTACAATAATATTACCCTTTAATTAATAATTTTTTTAATGAGAGAGAGAGAGAAAAGTATATGATTTATATATATCATTTTGTATTTTAATGTAGAATGCTTATTGACATTGTTTTCCTCTCATCTCAATGCTCAGCCTTTTTTTATCAACCATAATTATCTTTGAGTTCAAACAAATAGTGCCATATAAATTCAGTCGTTAAGATCCGTCCTGTCCGTCACTTCATCTTATATGTTATAAATTACAAATAATTAAAGCAGAAACTGTGTCCTCGAATAATGTTTTTCTCATGTCGATTGAATCGAGAACCAGCCGTTCGGCGATTAGCGCGTTTTTCTTTCGTTATCGAGGGATCGAACGATAAATGACGGTCACGGTTCGTCTTGCGGATGAGATATTGCAAGGAGTTTTCACTTTTCATCAGGGGTACCCCATTTACGGGCGGCGATTGACCGACGTTTTTGGATCCATCTCGTAAGACGAATGCGCTGTTGGAGAAACACGATTTGTTCCGTTCCGTGACCATTATGACCCGAAACATCTGAAATTTTTCAAGATCAGCCAGGTATGAGATCTCAGGCTTTCGTCACGCCGGTTTCTAGATCCTTTCGCGGGCGATCACATATGTCATCGTGAACGGCATACACATTTATGAATATAAATATACATATAGTATATACTATTATAGATTGTATACGGCTATATGTATAATTTTACTGATTAAACAAAGCGACACATATATTTTTAATTATTATCAGATCGTAGAGTGTAAACCATAAAACGGATGTAAATTAAAATATAAAATAAAACTAAAGTTTGATGGAAGAAAGAGAGAGAGAGAGGGAGAGGAGATATAAATTGAACTCTGATTAAAACAGTTGCTTCTCGTTTTAAGATTGTGCCTAAAATAAAATATAATTTCAGAATAAACTCTTTAAATTTTTTGAAGACTAGTCGAGATAAGATCGCTTTTAACTTATTCGTTAATATCATAAGTCATTCCTGTTAGTAAAGAGGCTAACATTGTATTTACGAGGTACGAACGTCAGATAAGACACGTCAGAAGGCAATCTTCTTCTATTATTTATTGGAAACCTTGATACACTCGAGCTTAATCATAAATATTATGAGTCATGATACAACACTATATTTACAGATAATTAATCGAGCAGTTGATTCCGGATACTTAGCTTGATGCTCGAATAACGGAAGGGAGAGGGGGCACGAGAACTTGGCGATCGATGTGGAGCAATGAGAGTCGGAGAGATGCTGTATAATGTTAAATTAAATGAAACGTGTGAAGAGAGGGGAACAACCAGGAGGGGAAATTAATATTTCACACACAGTGGCGAAAAATCGCGCGAGGTTCGACAAATTTCTGAATAAATATTAAGACGAGAACTGAGCTACGCGACTCTTTGGCGGGGCGGTCTTGTAAAATATTATTTAATCCTCGCTGGCCGTACACCCGATGCGATTCCGTGTAATTTTCTTGTGTTCTATTCTTTTTCTTTCTATTATAGTATAGGGTTCGCATCTTGGATGCTATGTATATATATAAGTATTATATTTTATATATATAAACCTAAGCATATTCGTTTGTTATCAGTATAATATAATTGATATTCAGTTAAACCTTAACACATTATTCACGAACATTCAGGAACGATGCGTGTGTGAGATTAGATTGCCAATTAAATAAATAATTTAATGCTTTGTTTATATGCCTTTTGTGAAATAAATATATGCATCGATTAAAAACAAAACGACATGAAGTTATTTAATTTCTGAAAATTATGAGATGGTTTTTGCTTTTCAATGTTATGCAACAATATATTTTGATTATAGGTACGTTAATTTAATATGTGAAAATATTGTAGAAGAATGTATATTCTTTTTACTTTATACATGTTTGGTCTATGTAATTATCTTCAAAAATAAATATATTTATATTTTATATTAACAAAATTAATTCCTTTTATCTTATAACATTTTTATTATTTTTTTGTAAACAATAATTTAATACTTTAATTGGTAATGTTTAAATGCGTTCCTTTAATTTTGTTTAATTAAACAGATATTCTTTCTTTATTCATCATTTCGCGTATTAATTATTTTAATGAGTAAATCGAATTAATAGCAAAATTTATTCACACGTTCCTGAATATGGCGAGTAATGTCATAGATAGAGACACATATAAGTATTGAATCTTATCAACGGCAATGAAGCGTCGTTACTGACGTTACATTCGTTTTGATCTCTAAATGTGCCGTATGCGAGATCAAAGTAGACAATAAAAGAAGAAGACACCATGTCGATCGCAAAGTAAACTGTGTTAAATTACCGATCAACGCAGTAAAGATCGAGTTCCGTTGATCGCAGTTGACCGCACATTCGGCACCGAGATCGTGGCAATATCGACGATTTCTACCTCTACTTATCGATGAGCGATAACTCGCTACAGATACTTCAATCGTGACATATACATCAATTGACGAATGAGTATCGATTAACACTTCAATAATTAAAAGAAGCGAGAGTATAGCAGCGAATATTATTATTTATATAAAAAAGCATTCGCACACAAAGAATTGATGAGACCTATTATATCCATGGGAACCTGAATTATCGACGACTATCAAAATACGTAAGGCACTTTGCATCGTGTCAATCCCATGCTTACCTTAAGAAGTTAATAATTGAGAGAAGAGTGAGAATATATAAAAAAGACTCTTCTAAAATTGTTTACAAATCTGATATTCTTCCGATTTATAAAAACAATAAATTTATCACCGCGCGTTCTAATCGCATTATTATCAATGTCGACTTATCAGTAGCTTGAAGTTCAGTCATTTATATCGACCATTTCCTATTTTAACGACGCATTCTTATATTACCGGCGGAGCTAGTTCCTTAGCCAGCTCCATATGCAAAAGATGCGAGGATATCGCAATTGAGATGAAGCGAGAAGAAATAGATCTCCGCATGCTAAATATGTTACCCTAGTTGATTCGACCTTTGTGCGTCATATAGCTTATACTGTCCGACAATAATTTTTCTCGCGCTTGTCGCCGCATTCGCGAACACATGGCTAGTATCGTACCGGCCATGATACAGAAGAAACCACAGCCGAGTCCCACTATTGTACTGGCCACTGTAGATCTCAAACATACTCTGTCAGTTGTAGGCTCGCTAAATCCTATGTAAAAAGAAAAAAAATATATAAATTTTTATTGAACACTAGTTTACAAATTTTACAAATATAAGAAGGGCAAAGAGCCAAAGTAAATCTATCGAACAATATTCAATTATTTAAAATTTAATAAAACACTTTAATAGATCTTTAAAAATTACAAATTGGAATTAATAGGAAGAGACTCGCGCCAATTCTCGCATGTACTCGAGATATGTGAGATCTATTCATATAGCACCTCGCTCTAAGACACCTCCAGGCGTCTAAGGCAGGCTCCCACTACAATGCCTTACTGATGAGTCCAGTAGTGGGGGCCGGGACGAAACGCAGCAGTGGATGATAACAATATTTTCGCATAGATTACCACACAGAGCCAAAGACGTTTCGACTCCGATCCGGGTCATTTTCAATGTTACAAATTAGAATTAAAATGGATAACGAATACTTCTTTTGATAATTAGTATTCGGTATAGATATAGTCACATGTTGATATGATAAGTATAAATTGATCCTTGTCAAAAATACAAAAGAAGCAGCAAGTCCATAATTAAAATTCTTCGAAGTCAATTAATATAAAATATAATTAAAACAGTGTTAGTTATTTTATAGTTCCTAGTTATGGCACAACGACAATATTCTAGTTAATGAATTTATTATGATTTTTTTACTCAATTTTATTGAAGCATCGTATATATGCAGAATTAAGATTTGCAAAAGATTTTATACTTATGCGAGCTTTGTTCATTTTAAATCAGCGCTGGCCATAATGCAATTATGATAAAAAAAAAAAAAGTAGAGCATCTCTTACTGAACGCGGCTATGATAAATGCATGACTTGACATGTAATTGTTCTAACAGTAAAATGTTATGTTTGACATATATATGTATTATATATTTTCTTTACCGCTGCGAGAGAAGCTGGTGGAATTCTGGAACAGTTCCGTATCCGCCTCGCCTTCTTGAAGAACACGAAGAGACTGGAAGAGGTTCACGTTCTCCGACAAACTAGTTGCCAGCGTCGATGGTCCATCAATTTCCGACACTGACCGTTTCACTACATTCTTCGCGTTTCTCCAATGGCAAGGTTGGCTCTGAAGTACGGGTGAATCATTTCAGTTAAAAATGTTTATGAAACTGGGATATACTTTATATTTTCGAGCAGAAATAATAGAAACGTGCAAAATGACATTGAAACATTGCTTGAAAATTTTAGAATACTTTTTAATATTACTTTTCAAAAGTTAACAATTTTATTGCAAAAATTCAGAACGTAATATATACCCAAAAATTAAATACGACGCACACACGCATAACAAAATATTAAATTTTTACGTTTATGATAGAACGTATTAATAACTAAACTATTTCAAAAGTAAATATTTTCTAAAATACTTAATCAAATATAATGAGCGTAACACTTAAATAGATTAAAGAGATAAACAGATAGCAAGCTAACGTTATTTACCATCAATTTGTCATCAATTTGATGTTAAAATGACGTTTATTACGACATTTTGATGTCAAAATGATGGTAGTAACATCTGTGCTTACTACCTGGTTTAAATAGATTAAGAATGGAATGAAATCAAGTAGTAATGTAATAAAAAATATTTAGTTACCGGACATCTTCCGTGGCACATGCGAACATCGCATTCGATATACAGAGCCGGCGATCCTGTGAACCTAAAGGTCTTCATATAAGCAAAGACTTGTGTCTCGAACAGGCCGCTCTCCGACCAGGAACCACGAAACCGGCTGATCAGTTTATCATCAACCGGACATCCGTATTGATCGATCAGTTGAATCCTTTTGTTTCCGCCATTATGAGCGTAGCAGTCATTTACGACGATATCAAAACCATCTAGAAAAAATTTAGCGTAAATATTCACATTTTTTTTATCCGAAAATCATCAAGTTACTATTTATAAAAACGGTACTACATAAAAAAACGTTATAATATAAAATATATATAATACTATAAAATAGAATATAATATAAAATATAACTCATAAATTCCAGTGGATATAAACAAATTTAAGAAAAGATTATAATTTCAAGAGAAGTTCTGTTTTTAAAGATTCATTATGATTAGATAAAAAGCGATGATTAGCTTCATAAAATATATATGTCGTCACGATAACAAAATCAATTAGTCATAAGCGGCAGGATGAGAATAAGATCTGACGTCCTCTACCTTCTGACACAGATTTGCATGACATAAGTGATGTAGACGTAAATACAGAAGCCTGACTCGTTAAAGTACAGACATCTGTCGTTACGTCAAAAGCACATACATTTTCATATCTTCTCGCCAGCATTTCCGCATCTTTCGCAAATTACCGAGCTTAGACTGACTAGCTGACTGACAAAGTCTTCTGCTGTTCATCTTATACCGTTATCGCTGTCGAATGATAGCTTGGCAGAATCGTACGTCATATGATTTGACTGAGCGGTGTGTGTGTAAAAAGAAAACCCGATACACGAAAATACGTATTGTAAACAATTTGCAAACAGATTTATTTTTTGTTTCAATATTACAGACTTTTCATCTTGAATTGTGTATTTATCGCTAAAAAAATATACAATTATAACGTTACAACGCGATTTATTGTGGTAGTATTTTATAATTACATTTCACACACAAACAAACATTAGATTCAATTAAATTAAACGCTTCTAAGAAAGTAATAAATTAATTTATGGTAAAAACACAAAGTGATTATAATTTAATCGATATCCCTTATAGAAATTTAATAAGATAGCGATTAATTACTTATTTTTGGTATTAAAAGTTATTTAGTTAGTTTCCTATTTGTGTCTTTTGTTTATTGTTCATTTCAAGTATTGTAAATCTTGTAGGTCGAATCCATTATGCATTCTGCCGATTTTACGTGGCGGTTAGGCTACGTATAACGCTCACCGTATTTGCTGCGCATGTAGATAATGAGAGTCAGGGGATCTCCGACGCGAACTGGTCCAGCCACTCTAGTTCCAGTGGTCCCGTAACCGTATCTGATTTCCATGTAGCACTCCGGAGGCTGCAGGGTGAAGACTACGGGATTTCCCGTGGCGACCCTGGAAGAAGGTGGGTGCGTAAGAGGCAGGAAGAATGCGTATCCGTTATCTCTCGCGAGCAGTACGGCCTACTTCGCGCCAGCAGGATAGCACAGATGTTAGACATTATCGTAGATATTACGTAAACGCCTCGCGTGAAACGTTCCATCGAGTTCGCGTAATCGGAGGTTTCACGTCGATGGATCACGTCGTGTAATACCTCGCGTGCATTGTGAAAACGACTCTGAGCCTCTGATCGATATGACCCTTTGTACTGTTTCTATGAGCATGGAACCCGCGACGTTTTGAGACATTATTGGTATACATTAATTTCAAAAGTAAAAATGATTCACCACTCACTCGACATCGAGAAACGGAAATGTCACCGTCTTCCAAAAGTCGTAGCCGTACTCGCAAGTCACTTTGAAGTGTTCGTCGAACTCCTCTTCTATTAAGGGATTGTACTGCACTGTGACCGTGTTCCACATAAGATTTTTCTGGAAAGACAAGAGTAATACGTCAGTTGAGTTTTATTTCTCACGTGTGCGAATCCAGTGGTAATAGCGGCGTGGCTACGTTCCCGCGCGATCTACGCGCGATGTGACATCTAATTTTCTCTAATTATCCAGATTAAAAATAAGTCCCTCTCATTTTTCCCTGGTGTTGTTAATCATTATTATTCCTTGTCTACCGGCGCCGGTGCACGCTAAAATAATGATCCGTCATTCCGTGATGCACTCGGCGCTCGTCTATTTTACGTACCGTCGGATTCTTCCTGCTGTCCTGATGATGAGTGTTCTCGCCGAGGGTGCCGCACCGATTCAACTGAATGTAGAACTCGTAGTAGTCACGGCCTGTCCCATTAACGTACATGCAGTCGGGATCGTACGAGTAGCCTGCAATTAAAAGCGATTATTCTTGTTCATGCGGTTGCCTATGATACGACCGCATTCGAGATATCGAATATCAACCGATATCTAGTCTATCAAACGATCTACCTCGCGGCCTTTCGACTACACAGAGCGCGTTGCGTGAAGAATATAGGCGGGACGCTGCGATGCGTTTTCATCGCGCGAACAAATGAGCGGCGAGGAATACGTGAGGAAAGAAACGTAAAGTATACTCGTTAACACTGGAGTTAGGAAGTCGGGGATTAAGGTAATCTGACTTCTTAGTTGTCCTCCTAGAGATTCAATCAGAAAAGCCTCGCAGTGTTTTACGAAGCTGCCACATCCGCGTTGGTTACAAAGGCGCTCAGCTCATTATTGAAATATATTGATTAACGCCATTAACGGGCTTATTAACGATCAACGAGAGAATTGTGGATTAGCAGAATGGATATTAAACAGATGCGAGGTTCAAGAAGAGGTCGTCTTTCTCATCGGAATAATTTTTAAAAGAAATCACTCGACGACGATGCCGTTTTTGCCGGTGCGTCCCTGCCAGAAGGCATGGCCGCGATACGCTTCTTTCGAAATAACGGAAGTATCTTACTAGACCGGACAGATGGACTTACGACGGCGAAAGAAAAATTCTGACGCGGCCGATGTGGACGACCGCCGATCGCTTTACGATAATTTCCGCCATTACCTCATTAGCGCGGACTCGTATACTCGTCTCACTGTCTGCCGACGTAATTGCGGATACCAGCAATGCAGTCAGTTATGCAGTCACATATTTTAGACGCAGTATTATGTCAAATCTCTTGACCGTAATGGAGAGTGTAGCGTAAAATTCCAAACACCGTCACTTTTTCATCGCACTACTTGTATAATTCGCGTCGCAATATTTACATCAATCTTTTGTCAAAAGCAATTTTTAAACTCTGATCTCATCACGTTATCGGTTGGTTATTTACACGCGCGATTGATATTGCAAAAATATAATAGAATTTAATATCAAAATAATTACGAGTAAATTGCACGATGCTAGAAATAATTATTCATTAATACAAGTCAATTTTACGCCATTAATTTTACCTGCTGAATACAAGAGGCCGGCGAAAGATCCGTTGAATCCGATTCTGATTTTCATGTAATCGTCTTGACATTCCGCCTCGATATCTGAAATGTAAAAAATAATTATTAAACAAGTAATTATTCAATTAGTCGATTAAAAAAAATTGTATAATAAATTTTTATTTTTATTTACACGCTTTTCCTAAAACCTACGCTTTTTTTGCGATCAAATCTACATTCCGTGATTTTATATTTCATTATACGTATAATTATGTTGACTCAGCAGCATGATAAACTCTCTATCTGCATTTTATAATTCTTTGCGAAACCAAGGTCTAGGTGGAATCTTTGATGTCGAAAGAGAAATGGAAAACTGTACATGTAGGTACATATACAAACTGACAAGGACAATCGACGTGTCGTGTCTACCTATTGTATCTGTATTTATTATAATCAAAATTAAATTTTAAATAATAAATTAATGTGGTAATTATTTTATAAAGTATTATACACATTAAAGAATAAGCTAATTTTTCAAATAATTTAAACTATATAAACCATATATATATATATATATATAAACAATATATCATTATATATATGTATATAAACCATATATATATAAACCATATTTATACTATTTAAATAAAATTTAAAGATCTTTTTAAACGAAAATTTTAATTGACGATTGACAGCAACTTTTACAGGCAAATTATTTGTAGCAAAGACTCTATCTTATTTGATGAAACACAAAAGCTAATTCTCTTTTGCAAAAAAGTTTTCTCGATCAGGAAGTGTTCTTAGGATAGCGCAAATAGCGTTACCATATCGGGTCCGGTAATTGTCACTTCGAAACGTGCATTCGTATTCAACCGAGAGTCAGTCACAGAAGATGGCAACGTGTCGATCGGTTATTGTGTGGGCGTATGTTCGCGGCCAGGAGATCCTGTCGTCATTTGTATGAGGAAACCGGGCGCGGAAAATCGCAGATTCGCGGATAGGAGCGAGTGGAAAACCGGTCGTCGATGACGAGTGAAAGTAAGTTGGGGGTCCCGTATAGGCGCTCTTCGTGGTAAGGAGCCGTTTCCACTGTAGTAACGTAACCGCAAAGCGGAATGGAGATTGATGGAGGATGAAGATAGTTACACTCGAAGTGTCCGCCGATGATACAACCTTTTCGTTTCATGACCCACGCTCATCCCACGCGCACCGTCATCGTAGGACGCGTGGTATCCTCGCATGACACCTGAATATCATCATTGGATGTCATATAAGGATATCATCGCTATCGAAGTATAGGGGATTCGCAAAATTAATTAATTTAATTTAATTTTGATAAATATAAACTGTAATTGACGCATATATTTTTTTCTTCTAAAGAGGATGTCTATAAAAATGGTATAAAACTTTTATAGTAATTTTAAAATCAGCTCCAATAGATTATTAACGTTTATTAGAGTAAATAAAAATTAATTGATTATTTTTGATTCGATTAGATAAATAGAGGAAAAAAGATGAGAGAAAGGCTGACACGCGCGCTTGTTACAGACTCGTAGAAAAATAAAGGATAGCGATGGGAAGATAGTTACACCGGAGGCGCATGCCGATGATACAACCGTTCCGTTTCACCCTCGTCCTACGCATCGCGCCGGTCGCGAATGTGTCGAGCGCATTTTCGAGCGGCCGTACGTACGTACACGCACGTATACGCAGGCGCTCATTAGAATTGCGGATACGTGCTTTGTGTTCATCGTCCGGCAAAACTCTGTCAGTAGGCAGACAATGGGAAGGAGTTGAGCAACGCCGATATTTGCTAGAATGTGCCGAGAACGATCGCGGAAAGGCGCGCGGAGGATATCGTCGGGTATATACCTTTAAGATACTCCGCGGTGCCTATGGTTTTACCATGTTGGCTCCAACTTTTGAGGCACAGCACCTTTATTTATCGGTCCGAATCCAAATTGCGGCTGGAAAGCATTCCGAGAGAGGTATAAAACGCGGTAGAAAACCTCGTGGGAGAAGTAAAAGGGAAAGAAGTAGCAAAATGGACTCTGAGGACGTATGAGAATCGAGTGTTGCCGAGGAGGATACATTAAACCTAATGGGCTCTCTTTCGCGTAATTGACGATACCGCGGGTGGCCTCAAGTTCCCGCAGAGAACGAGCGGCTTCGACTTTACGACTTCATTGAACCAGCGAGCTTCATAGGCCGGGCGTAGCATTCGTCATTGCCAATAGCAGACTCATCCAAATGTTTTAGGAAATTTACCGTAGCAATGCGATCATCGATCGTCCTGTCGTCTCGAAGGGCTTCGGCACATCTATCTTTTAAAAAATATACAATCTGATTGATCGTACGGTCGAGTTTTCTTAAATGCGTGTAGAACGATTTATCACAATGAAGTAGAGCGAAATAGATTTATGTGAATCACTTATAACTCGATTCTTCTCGATACCTACACTATGGAAGAAATCATTGTCTTGCAATTTAAAAAAAAAAAGCGGTGCTGCACCTTCTTGTATATAAGCACACGTTGTAGTACCTTGGAATTATAATTTTACAGTTTTATAGTATCGATTCTTTATAAAGTTTATGAATAATAGATGATCGTATCTTCATCTCGCAGGAATAATAGATATCGGTAAAGCAAATTGCCGTATAATTATTTAGTTAAGAAACATGAAATGATTGCAAGAATTCAAAAAGTGGTGTAATAGACGTTCTGGTCGAATGAGCGAAGGGAACGATGCGTCGTTAAAGAATTTTTCTCACAACGCGGTTTCCAGGATGGCCGTAATTTTCCGCAAAGCGTAATTAAAAGGAATCGCGAAGGGCGGCTTGAGAACGGCCGGTATACGATTCTATCCCGTAAATATTATTTATTTACATTATCATGAAACACACTGTAATTTTCTCCGGGAGTATCAGGCAGTGATGCCTGCTATGTTGATGACCCGCCATATGCACGGACACCGAGTGCTCGGGCATTCACAATAAACTTCGATATTCCTGAAAAGTCGCATACGCGGCCGATGAGCGTAACACACATACGCGTAACATAGGAAATTATACACGCGCGCGTAGAAAATTAATTTTGTTTTCACAGGACGTTGTCTATTATTCTTTCGTAACGGGATGTTACACCGACGTTATTAATGTCTTGTTCTACTGGCATTAATTACTACCGCACACCCGCTACACGAGATTAAAACTGAAGCGACCGATTAAAGTCTTAATGAAGCATCATTGATTGAACCTTTCGTGGAGACAGGATTTTGAGAACAGGAGATATAAGGAATTCATCCTACAGACCAATTTAGAGGTAATGATTCCATCGCTGAATCGTAAAACTGTGATTGTGTGAATTTATTATTTGTACGAATGTGTGCGATTCGCACACAAACGGCATTTCTCGACGTAACATAAATTAGACGGAAAATCGATCGCTATAAAAGAGCCGGAAAGAAATCGTAAAATAATAACTGCAGCTTGAACAATCTTTCTGTATATTACACCATATATTACACCATATATTACGGTGTATGTATTCAAGATAATATTAAATCATTCAAAGAATTCCCGCGGACTCGACGACATAACTTCACGTCATCGTACGCGTCGGCACGAAAAGGAAAAAAATAACGTAACGGCCGCTCATAAACATCATTTTCATTGCGACGCGGCTCGTCGCAATTTTCTCGCAGAAAAAGCAATGCCAGAAACGAGCTCTGTCGTCGATTACCGGCGCTATAACATATATATACGCGACCAGAAGATATCTGCACGGGCCGTGTTCGAGTTTCCACACGAGGCAATCGTGATCCAGATGCGGATAATGATGATCGCGCGGGATGATGATGACGGTCCTCTCGGGTCTCGATGACGACGACGACGACGACGACGATTGCAGATGCCAGATCGAAGGTGTGCTGCAAGCACACACGGTGGTGTATCTCTGCCTCCGTACCCTCGATGAGCGTCGTACGACTTTCCGACACCGTTTTAATTGCCTCCTCTCTAACGGTAGCCATTCGCCATCGTACTCTGAATTCCCGGGCGCGCTATAAGGCTGAGGAGATGGACGGATATATTGCGCGGAGCGCGACTGCGATTCTTCCAAGTCAATCGACCGAGACACCGGAGGGAAGTACTTTGTCCTATAACGCGGCGCTATTCCTCGCAGAGGCTTCGGCCTCTTGCCGGACAATGGAGAGAAAAATAACGGCTCGACATGCTAAAGCGACGACAACACAGTCCTGTTTTTCCTCCGAGGCACACTGACCCACCAGACCGATACCGTGGATGCTTTTTTTGTCAGCGCTTTCATTCGGACGGGAAATATAGCGGATCCCTCGTTTACGCCCCGATATTTATGCTATCCCATTATTCAAACGTTCTCTTGGTCTAAATACATTCTGTGAAGTATAATCTCTTTCTTGCGTGGACGCAATAATGTAATCACAAGCTAAATTGAGTCGATAATCCATTATCGATCAAATAAAGATTTCTGTTGGCTCTATAGATCGACATAATCAATACCCTTTCGTAATGTATTTCCGCTGAATTAGCGTCTTGATGCAAGCCGCCATTACAGCTACTTACAAACCAGGAAATTTCTATTAACTCGGGGAGATTGTGCGGGCTGAAGAGTAATTGCCTTATACAGCGTATCCACTTGATTTATATTTAATTTACTTCATCGAAAAAGCGCAAGCAGATTGTCGAGACTATTAATTACGGCACTTACGAGAACCCGTTTATTTTAATAAATTATCATCAATTCTGTTTATATAATAATAATGCAATTTAGCAAAATGATAAAAGCCCGCTGCCTTCGTACTCACGTTGCACTCTCGTCGTGTTGGGCCTGTACCTTCGGTGCTCGCGATCCCAGGTTTCTGGATGTCTCCTCCAGTCATCGTCGCCGACTACGCCTGTACCTCCGTTTCCAGAAAGGCCCTGCAAACCTTGAAGAGTTTGAAGAGCCTGAAGATTCGGATTCAATGAAGGTCGATTCTTCAATGAAGGTACTGGCAAGTAATTGCCGCCATCGCCAATATACACGACCTTCGAGGGGAAAGAGAAGAATTTATTAACATAATTATTAATGTAATTTTAATATTTTAATTTGTGTCATAGTATAGATAATTGATCTTTGCATGACTTATCATATATCGTGATCTAATATGTTATTTCTTTGATAATTATGAATGTATTATTTATATTTTCAATTAATTAACCAATTAATTTAGTAATTAATTAAATACATGTATTTTTTATGAAGAATAAATAAAGTTAATTGGTCTTATACAAAAAGAATAATTTTGCTAAAAAATATAAATTTTTGTTGGACGCAGACCTGAAAATTAATGTTGTTAGATCATTAAATAATTTTGTTGAAAAAACTAGTTGTTAAAATATTAAAATTTGCAGTGACAATTTAATGACATTTTAATATATGAAAAATTTTTTTCATTATATGCTTAATTAAATTAAATTAGTACACGTAATGTTCACTCAATTACTTCAACTCAGAATTATTAGAGTCTCGCAAAACAGTTAATAATCGATGCTTATATATAATAGTTATTACATATTATAAGCATTATATTAGCATCACAGAAAACCATTTAGTATATCTATAACGTTTAGATTTGATCGTTTACATTAATACTCCTAATAAGCAGTCACCCGTGACAAATTTCTGATGTTACTAATGATATTTATATCATTAACATTAGGGGGGGAGTTCGGAAAATGAATACGAAGAGTTTGCTAACGAGTCGCAAGTAGTGATTTGCAGGTTCAAAGCCGTTAGCCCGCGCATTGCGGTTGCAAGCGGGATTCCGACAAAATATTCTCGCGTACACAGCCTCTCGCGCGATACGGCTATGCAAAACTATCCTGTCGAGCGGGAGCCCTGACCTCTCCTACGTTAACGATCCGGTTTAACCCTCAGCTTGTACGGATCGCTACCGCTCGAACGGTGAGAAAGGGCGAGAGAAAGCATCGGGGGTCGAGACCACGACGAAGAGGAGAAACACGCGGAAGAGGGAGGCACGGCGGTGTCGGCGCGGCGTTGGCGGTGAGTCCAGGCAGGCGAAAAGGGAGAGAACCTCTGACGAGGAAGTCTGAAAAACGGGCAGCACGAGTAGCGCGTGACTAACGCTTTACGAGCTCATTCCCCTGTCCGAGCGTGGGTACCCCCGAGGCATTCCATCCGCGTACGGGTGCCGTGCGCAAGAAGAGTAGACGCAAAAGAAGACCGAATAGGACGACGACGGCGGGGGCGGTCGAGGGGGAGGATATTGTACTTTGAGCCGCTTGTCAGCGAGGAGTCAGCGAGCACGACGCGAGCACGACGCGAGCACGGCCAGATAGATACTTACTCGGGCGAATCGGAAGAGAGAGAAGGGGGAGGACGGGCACGTGGTTAGTGGTGAACGCGAAGCGACGAAGGAAGGAAAAAGTTGCGAACAGCCTCTCGCGATACCGCCGTGACGAAAAAAATCGCCATTCCATTCCGCGAGTCGTTACCTCTCTTCTTTCCCTACCCCCGTTCTTCTCTTCTCGCCGTTTTACACTGTTCTCGACGTTCGATATACGCGACATAGGTTCGCCACCCTACCGCGCGCCCAGATCGCCAGGGAAATAGCTCCTCTTCACGGATTCCACTTTTGAGGAATTTCAGGAACTCGAGTACACGATGCTGCCGGGAAACGGAACAGACCCCGACGAGCGAAGTGGCGTACGGCGTTTATGGGCCAGTAGAGTAGTTAGGAGGATCGTTCCTCTGGGGCCCGGCGAGCGCTCTGGTGTCTGATCTACGTTCCGCGGAAAATGACTGGCGGTCTTTGAATCTTCCGCGGTATCTCATCGGAATGTATTACGGACGATAAGTGCCGATTACCTCCGACTCCTGCTATGCTTAACTACGGCTACTTTGGCATTAACTGTATACTGGGCTACGTAGGAAATGCAATAACACGAAATGCTTCTTCGTGTCGAATGCGCGGCCGATTCGTATCTCATCGGAGCTCTTCGCACGACAACATCTTTTCCGTTTTGTGGGCACCTCTTCGAGGAACTTATTAGTTTCAATTTAACACAAATCTATTTCCGATAACTGTTTCGAAAATTAACATTTGTTGGTAGCAATTCAAGGTAATATTTGTACGCATTAACATTTGTACGCATCCGGCGATGGGAGCAATTTGACATTGAATTCAGTAGCTTGTGTATAATAAGAACAATTTCTTTAATGATCATCGATATCCGTGATATATAAGCTCACGTTTCTTCAAAGAAGAAATACCAAGTAACCGTTTAAGTTTTCTCTACGTTTTGTTCTACAGGAGGAGCTGACGTCACGGACGGGACCAGATTTTTTTCACCTCAGGTGAATGTTAATTTCTTCCGAGGATTTTATTTGATCAAGTCGGATCGAGATATGCACATTCATGTAATCATTAACGGTAGCGCGGTTAGAGTGTCGAAAGTCATTAAGTCGAAGTAAGATCACTCGGTCGGCTTAAATAAATGCACTTACCTCTCTAGAATTTTTTCTCAAGATTCAATTATTCGTCGAAGTGTTACGTAGATCGAATTCCGTGCAAGCGTGAAGTAATGCAAAAATGTTATTAGTTATGAAAATGTGCCAAACACAGAAAAATTAACTTTTTATATTAATTTTACGCTGTGCGGATGTTATGTCAATTTTTATCACATTAATTTTCATAAAATATGTGATAAAAATATGTGATAAAAATAATTATTTTAATGACTTAATGAAATATTATAGATTTGTGTATATTTAGCTAATATTTATAATGGATACTTTAATAAAACCATTCTTTCCATCCGTGATTAGCGGGATTAATGATTTCATAGACGCACAGTTTCTGTCTCTCGAGGCGATTTAAAATTGTTGAGGAGACAGCTTCGAGCTATGCATTGCATTTCCGTGTGATTAGTCTTCGCCCTCCAATCGGAACGGACGGAAACACGGCGATACGCAGAACAGATGAAATTGATCTTGTCTCCCGTTTCGCAACGGAACGCTCGTAGGCTAAATAAACTGCTTCTGGGTGCTCTCTCTCGAGTAATGGGGCCTTTCCCTGCGGAGAATCACGCGGTGCAAGAAACGATTTATCCGCTCGCAATTTGCGATATAACGAAGGTCGCGCACGGACGTAGCCGCGAGCCGCGATACCCTTTCTCTCTATTCTACTGGAAAACTGGTTCATATTTTTTCGCGATCGAAATCGATTCCGCTCGAAAACTAGTTTAAAAGCAATCCGTAGATCATCGATAAAGAGCGATTAAAATCAAAGGAATGGCCTTTATATTCCGCTTTCCTTCCCACCGGTGTACTTCTCATGCCGATGCACCAGGCAACCTTTTGGCCCTTCTGCCCTTTATTTAAAAAGGGCCTGCGGAATTTTCTACGTGCCACGGAAAGGGGGAAGATTATGGGGATAGAGTATAAACGCGCCTGTATGTAATAATTGATTTTTGTTGAAAATTAATTACAAAACTGCGGCCGCAGTCGCGATTTTATCGATACCGATCGCGCAGCGAAGACGAGAGTCACACGAGGAAAGCAAGACGATCGGCCGCGTCATCCGTGGATCTTCAGCAGGATTTTTCCGCTCGATCGAGGACACGCCGAGGCGTCGTCTTTGCTGCGGTTAACTGTCGGCACTTCCCTTTTTTACTCTCTTGAATATCGTAGCGGATGCAGAACACCTGCATCTAGGCCTTCTCCGGCCTTGCGAGCGAGCATTCGTTAACGAGAAATCACGCAAAACTGAACAGATGGGCAAGTATCATTCCTTCACTTCCTTTTTTCCATTCCCCGCTCTCCTTTAGCTCTCTTTTTTTTTTTAATCCACTTTTGAGGAAACCGTTTGCCAATTAAATATAACTGGACGTACGGCAGATGCGCGCGCATCTTTCTCCTCTTACTTCTCTCACTTTCCTCTTTGTTGTCAGATATACTACGATATTTATTGTCAGAAATCTGTAGTACTCGCGAGAAAAGATTTTACTGTCCATTGAAATGTCTGGCTTTGATAACTCGATAGTAAAATGTAACGTTAAAGTAATTTTTTTTATCTCAATCAACAAATTAGCGAGTTGATTAGTAAATGGATTTTCGAAAATTGTGTAGCAAAATCTTACGGTATCTGATTGCAAAATATGATATTCCAGGCAACTTAAATCCGACGGTATCAATGTTATCGACGTTTCATTGGTTTTTCTTGCGCAGGCTGTTTTCACCAGTCAATGTTGCACGGAAAAATAAGTAAATGTTTCTATAAAGGTAACGGAACAAAGAAATAACAGATCTCGGGGAGAAACTTCTTGTGTAATATCTATCATGAATTTCAATAAGAAAGAGCGCAACGCGAAACAAATTGGCGATGCGTGACTTACAGTATCGTGGTCGCTGGCCTCGTGAGTTAACGCTTCTCTGGTTTCGTTGTGAGAGGAGGAGGAGGAGGAGGAGGAGGAGGACTCATCCTCTTCGGGTCCCGATCCGCTGCCAGCCCAATAATCCTCGGTCGTGTCGTCGATGACAGAATCTTCGGAGTTTCCTTCCACTTCTGTGTTCTCATGGCTGCTCGCCTTTGAAAGGAAAATTGTCTCTTATGAGCTCCTGTGTCCTTTGCGAGTTAAAATGTTACGGGGGCAAGATATATATTTACCTTACACCTCAGCGTGACCACCGTCAACATCCAGACGCAGATGTACCTGCAACAATATGTAATTTGTATTAAAGTTATGTGGTAACTCGGCTCGCGATATGTAAGACGCGTCGCGAAGCAACGAAATTTCCGAGGTCGCGTTGCAAAATACAAAATCTTATGAAATATATATATAATATCAGAATATATAAACTTTTTTCGCTTTAAATTCGAAGTGTATTGTATTAGAGCATTGCGCTCTTAAAATATGACTTGGGAGAGTTACGGTTTCTAACGCAACTTGCTCTTACGCCATCATCGTGGCAACCAAGGACGATGATGTGAAGGCCGTTATACGGAGGAAAGCGATCATGATATTAGTAGAAGCCTCCGCGAAACGTCGAGCGGACAAGACGATTGTAAGAATAGCACGGAAGGAATGCGATTAGGCAGGAAAGAAGAGATTAACTCTCAGATTTAATGATATATATAATCCATGTGTATACATATATATATGTGCGCTTATGTGTGTGTTATGTGTACGTGAAAGCCTAAGTAATGCGGATCGTAATGTATTACACGTAATCGGTGAAGTAAGAGCACCGCAAAAGGTGACTCGCAACGGCACGGTCTTCTGGTTTTCACGTTCTTTTCCCTCGGTCGCGGCTTCATCTAGGATGTGACTCATCTCTCTCGCTATACTGCTGCTGCTTCCAACGCAGCCCCCGTTCCCTTGCCACTTCTACGTGAACCTCAAATGAGTTTCTTGCCTCTACACTTACTTGCCGTTTATAGACCTTTTCGGTGTAATCGCCGCCGGGAGCCTCGCATCGCACTATTCGCACGCGCTCAGTGACCCCCCGTGCCGGGGCAATCGCTCATATCAATCTTCATCTTCTCGTCTCCTGGACCTAATTAGGTCGATATTAAGTATTCACGGTAGCTCATACAGTTTTCCATTTTTCATTACTTCTCTCGCTATTAATCTCGTTCATTCACGGCTCATGTTTAAGATTTTATAGGGATATTTGTATTATTTCGCTTCGTTACAAAATGTGAAATTGCTTCTCGAATGTAATAATTAATTCTTGCGTTTGATATTCGACAAGCAATTCTTTCACCTTACGCTTCTAGTCATCCTGTGACTGTTTCAGCGAAGATCCGTCATTTATAATACAGCCTCGTTTATACAGCGATCTCAATTTTTGGGGAAAAAGCGGTAATAAAATTCTAAACAAATTTATTGAATATTAAAATTAAAAAAAATTAATGCTATCTTTCAATAATACTGTCCTCTAATTTATTTTTTGTTAAATATAGAACGTTTATGTCAATTTGTGGAACAGTTTTATACTTCGTTGTAATCTAAATAAGTACCTTTATATATGTGTGTAATTTAATTTTTGTGTAAAAATAATACTACACTACATGCTTAAGTATGCAAATTCAAATTTGGCGTGTTATGGCCGAGATATAAAATATGGAACTAATGTATTACAACCTAATCTTTTCACCGTAATCTTTAACCGCGCTGTTTATCAGATCGTGCTTTAATCTCGAGATGTTTCCATCTTGAGAAGATTAAGGAGTTAAGAGCTAAGCGAGACGTGCATACTGAACAACGAGACTGAACGAGAGTTTATAAGCAGCACACGTCATGTCGCTGAATCTTTTATAGACCTTCGTACTTAGATCTTCGTACAAATGCGTATCGCTCTACTATTTTCAAGACAGTAGAAATTATCTGTACTTTCATCACGTAACAATAATAATTACCGCCAGTATAGTTGAACAGCCGTTATCAGTGCGGTTTGATCGCTCTCCCCTTTGCGATTTTCCCAGGGTCGCGGGAATCGGCTGACCGTGGTTTTCCGAGACGTTATCGTTGGAAACTTTAAGCGCATATTACTTAGATTACGAGACGTCACCGTTTCATCTCGGACGATTAAGCAGTCGTTTCGAAAAGTGGAATGCTTTCAGTAGGCTAGATTGTGGAGTCACGAGGAAACTACTCGCATCTTATGAGAGCACAATAGATCAAATAATATTGGAAGCTACAATACTTCGGCAAAACTTCAATCAGTATTCGGGAAAATAATAGGATTTTCCACATAGAGATGATACATAGCCAATTTCTAATCTTATTATTAATTTTATTATTAATTACATTTAAACTTAAATTACACTAACCTGCGATGAATTTATTACATCGGACATTGCAATGTTTTCAGGGTAACATCACGTTAAATTCAAACTCAAGGTTGGAAAATTTTCTTTATTAGAATATACTCATATACATTAAATTAAACTGGAAATTCAATCCGCAGGCTAGTATATATCATTAAATGTTATTAAATACATTTAAATTTATTGCCCGAAGACGTTAATACAACAAGCTCGACCGCGATATCTAATCGATAAAATTCAGTTTGCTATAAAACATTTTTGCTTCATACATACTTGGGTCTGCACGGCATACCCACGAAACTTATTTAACGACGATCGTATAATGTAATCCCATTATTTTCGCATTAAGGTAAAAGAAAGAATTAAAGAAGAAATGGAAATCTACCCGTCTGCATCACCGGAGCGATTAAACGATAATTATCACCGCGTAACGGTTTGCGTCGCCGATTCGTCTTCTTCTGCAATATGTTAGACGATGACAAGGATGATGCGTTGATAGCAATCCCAGAGAGAATGTTGTGCACGTAAGATAATTATAAATACCTCACGGAGAGGTATCAAAGAGGGAAATTCATCTTATCCTACGCGCAACGGAATTCGAGCCTTCGCGATTGCATCGGTTGTCAACGGGATAATGGGATAATGACATATATGTAATTATAATAATTAATTTATCGTTGCGCCGCTAAGAGGGAGTCGATTATCGTTTACCGTCGAGCTCACACGCCAACTTACTTTTTCACGATCGAGGAAATTGTCCGGTTCCGGTTTCCTTCGCTCGCACTCCAGCAAGTGTCGAAGAAGTGGTTGCCTCATTGCGTGATTTACGAGACATTTCTTTACGCGACGTTTTAACAGCTGCTTAAATATTCAAACGCTCTCTCAGCCAGCTCTTGACTGAATTCACTCTGAGAGTGACATAAACTCGTATTGAATATGTAAAAGCTTAAATAGGATGTATTGAAAATGAGATCTCAGCTGTGTGTGCGTGTTGTGATGAATTCGCGCCATTAAATGGACAGAATTGGATTAGTAAGTAACTTACTTCTTGTGTATACACACAAAACACTCGTCGCACATTAAACTAACAGTACGCGAAAATTCATGTTTCGATTAATACAGAAATATGCTTTTTATTTGCCGTGGTAATTGCCGTCGAGTCATCTAAGTCCTCAATTGATCGCTCGTCGATGCGTCTGTTAAAACGCTACCTACGCAGTGAGACTGCAAACGCGACTTGTTCTCCTTAACGTCAGTGAAGTATCGATACCGCAATTCCTCATTCGCGATGTTTGCGTTTCGCGTTACAGAAACAATCAATAATCTCATCGCCGCACACCGGTCGGCGCGGTTCCGCGTGCGTTCCCACGTCGCCCACCTGTTCGTCGAGAGAACGAAGAACCGCCCCGATCCGTGTCGGGTGTATCGCGTGGTATTAATTACCGCCGCCGAGCACATTGGCAGCGATCGATAATTTCGCGAACGTCCCGCGGGGGGCACTCACGAGAGCATGATGTAATTATTATTCGTTCGCCCTGTCCGCCGCCGCCGCCGCCGCCGCCGCCACCGCGTCGCCGAGGCTGGTAAATGGAACGGAAGGCGTTAAGCCATAATCACACTAGCGATTGAGCGATTGAGCGATTGAGGATTACTTTCCAACCAATCGGAGCAAAGCAGTCACCGATTGCTTTGCTCCGATTAGTTGAGAAGTAATCCTCGATCCTCAATCGCGCAATCGCTAGTGTGATTACGGCTTTAGGCGATTAGGGATGAACTCAGGCAATGCGGATCGCGGGCTATCGTTACGCGCTACACGATGATGATAGCCGTTAATCACGTGGCGCCGTGAAGCGGGATCCCGAAGACGCAGGAGTGTATAACGACGGGCAATATATACGCACCGCGTTCGCGACATGTGGGCGGCGTAGGTCACCGGCCGCGCTCGCCGCAGATTACCGCGCGGATGCGTTACGCACGTTACACGCACCGCAAGATACCGGTGGACGTGATCGCCTCGAACGACACGCCGATATGCACGCAATTAAGCTGCCGTGTGTGTGGTTTTTCAGAAGGCGCGGTGTGCCGACCGTGCTTAGCCTGACCGTGAATAACACGTTTCGCTTCCACTTTCGGAGCCATCGTTTTTGTAAACGCACTTAACCGGTACCTGGAATTTCAAAGTCGTTCTTGAATGTAACGTTGAAAGCGACGCATATCCTGTTTGCTGTGATACACACTGATTAATTCATAACGTCAAATTATATCCAGTTTGAGTTATCTAGTCATATATATCTATAGATCGTCATTACTCTTACTCAATATGTCGTTAATTTAATCAAAACGATAGAGTTAAATGCATAATTACACTCGAGAAAATATATTAAAATTGACTAATATTAAATTTATTATTTACTGATTGCATATGTTAATATGGACGTTGTTTACTTTAAAATTAACCGCAGAGATGGATTGATTCTAATATAGATGAAAGTTTAAAATAACAAAAAATGTTATGAAACTCAAAAGATTAGATTGCCATTGTTGGTTTTATATCTAACAGTGTATCATTATTATACACATGTATATTATATATTTAGATTATACAGATATGTGTAAAAAAAATAAGTATTTAGTTTAATAGATCGATGAAATTAAAGTCGACAGCATAACATTCATGGAGAACTGTGCACTTTTAACGTAAATGTAACGGTAACGCAATGTAACGATATGCATCGACTGATACAATAGAGGAGTATAATTCACTTGATGCGAATATGCAAGCAGCGAGGCGTAAATCGCTTCATGGCGCTCTCGATAAACACAATTAAGATACTTTGGGAGTTTTATAGAATCTTTTTAACGGTGGTCTTAATTGATACACGCTAAATTCCAGAAATAGTATTCCGTTCGTTATCAAATGCAGTTATTAGAATTATACTGCCGTAAACTCTCGAACGGTTTACCGGTGTAAAATGCGTGCTCGTAATAAAGAAATAAAAAGCTAGATTCTCCACGGGAGGATGTTTGCGAACCTTTACAGATCGCACGGTATTTGTTCCATAGATGATGAACCTAACGCGGTTGTACACATCAATCACTCTCGCGAGACGCACAGTCTGCCCCGTGCATCACGAAACGAAGTGACGGCGCGATCCCCTTCTGGTCTTAAAAACGTAAAATCGAAAT